GGCCTGTCGAGGGGTTTGGCGTGGAACTGGTGCGGCGCTGTGGGTCGGGTGGGGTTCTGTGGCCGTGGCAGAGGCTATGTGAGGGCTCCGCTGGCGAGTGTGGAGGGGGCTTAGCCTGGGGAGAGGGAGTGGGTATATGCCGGTTTGTAGGGGTTACGCGGGATTTCATAGCAAAAGTGACCTGGGAGAGAAGGGAGGGTCGTAAGTCCTCTTCAGTGTGACCTAGCTGTGAAATCTCGGGGCAAGTAAATACATAGGGAATGGGGAAATTGCGTTCAGTTTATGGGGACTTGTCAGGGAACCAGTGGAGAAAATGAAGTTGAACGGTCCGGAATAAAGGAGGCTCAGGAGTGACCCTTATCGCACTTTACTACTGCCTGACAGGAATTGGTTGTGGCCGGGTGGCAGTCGGGCACTTTTCCCAGGTGACAAGTGACAGGACAAGAGGATAAAGTCCTGAGGGGCTCTGGGCGAGGTTTAGGTTGGACATTAGAAAACATTTGTTCACACAAAGGGTGATTGGGCACTGGAATGGACTGCCCAGGGAGGTGGAGGAGTCGTCGTCCCTGGAGGTGTTTGAGAAAGGACTGGAGCTGGCACTCAGTGGTTGGCACGGGGGTGTCCAGGTGTCACAGGTTGGGCTCGATGATCTCAGAGGTCTTTTCCAATCTCACTGATTCTGTGATTCTTTGAAACTGAGGCTAGAAGCTGAGTAGAGAAGAGATGTGTCTTTTGTGACTGGCACCTAAACTTGACTACAAGCACAACATTTTGGGTGAGCCCCTGTGGGACTTGGAGGGCTCTGTCAGTGAGGGATGGATGTGATGAGGTTGGAGTGGTTTCATCTGCAGAGGACCTGCAGGCTCCTGTTGTGGGAGACTACGTGGGGCTGGACACGTAGATGGTGTGGGTGGTGGCTGTGGTGTTGGGAGCTCAGCCTGTTCAAGCCTCGTTGTGGAGAGATGTGCTTGTGTGGCTCAGGGAAGCAAGAGCTGCCATTGCTGTTTGGGCTTGTGTGGCTGAGTTGGAGGCTCAGTGACTTGAAGTCATTGGGCTAGAATTGATAGTCTGGCCTGGTGGAAATTTAGAAGGGGACAATTTAGTTCCAGTTATGAGGGGTTTGAAGCACTGCTCTTAGACTGAAAGTGGGATGTCAGCATCAACTGGAAGAGATTGGAAAGAAGAATACATGTCTGTGCTCTTTTATTTATGTTTGCACACTCCCTGGGACAATGTGAAAGGGCCAACCATCCCCTGGCCTGTTGAGGGAGCATGTTGTTATGATTTTCCATCTGTGTAAAGTAAAAAAGACTGTCTACAACTTTTTCTGTGCTGTGAATGGGATGAAGGTGTGTGGCACATGCTGGATTTATTGCCATTGTCACCACTCTGCTCACTTGTGGAAGTGTTGATGCAATTTCATTGACAGTCTATTTTTATCAGTCAACTGGTTGTTTCCTATAACTAAATATGTTTTAAAGTGCCCAGCAGTGGCCTCATGTCTCATGATATTCCAAGGAGTGAAGTTTTTTCTGACAGCCATTTCCACTGTACATGTTTTGGTGAATAGGCAGTGTTTCCTCTGACCTTGGAAAAGTTTTAAATTTTTAGAAAAGCATGTGGCACAATTTAAAAATAATGGATAATAGCAGCTATACTGTGCATCACTTTTGCTTTCAAAAAAAGAGGAGAAATTTGGTAGATTGGTTTAATACATTTAATACATTTGGAAAACTGAAGTTCTCTCCACCCTTGTTGAATTGGCTCAGCAGGAAGGCAGGTTGTGTAGGTGAGCTGTACCAGGTGTTGAGCTTCTCCAGTGCCTCTCTCTGCTGTTCACTGAACTTCAGCTGTGGTGGTACACAGCCTTTAATACTACACCTGCCTTCCTGGCAGTCTGGGAGGCACGTGGCAGTGGGTTAATGTTAGAAGGTTGACGCTGGTGCTGTCCCCAGTCTGTTACTCTGAGGCAAGGACGTTGCTTATGAATCAGCCTCTGAGTCATTGTGATTTTCAGTCCAGCTGATTGAGACAACCTGCTCTAACTCTGAGTAGTTCTCATACACTGGGCTGCAAAGCTTCACTGGGAGGGTCGTCCTGGTAGCTGGGGGGAGTAATAGTGACAACTTTGACTGGTCTTTGGGTGCTGCTACTAGGAATTTATCCACAGCAGCTGGCAGTACCAGAGGCACACTCCAAAAGCAGGATGTTGTTTAGGTAGATCGTTTTATTTCCTATAGCCATGTGTTGACACACAGATTAACCGTATGTCAGTTGAGTAGGAACTGCCTGTGCTCAAGTTTGTTGTTTCCTGAAGCAGTGTGAGCTGAACGTACACTTCTCAGTGCCCTGCAGCTTGCAGTTGTGGCTGTGCTGACACAGCTGTTTGGGCTGGGCTGTGATCCAGACTTGGACTTTTGATCCATCTTGGTGCTTTTTGAAAAGAGGGTACGCACAGTGCCTTCCTCGTGGAGTTTGCTCAGCTTCCTCTCCCCGTGCTGTGCCCCCACAGTGTGTTCTGGCAGCTGGAGGTGGCAGGCTGCAGCTCACACGTGAGAGCAGAAATGCTCTCAGTGTTTGTAGAGAGAGCTGGCTTTGACTGCAGTACTCACTGAATGTGTTTTTAAACTGGTGTGAGGCTGATGAGTGATAATTGTTTATGAGTGATAAAGTGCATCAACAAGATCATAAGTGAGCCTGTGATCAGGCCCTTCCAGTGTGACAAGTACCAGACGTGTGATGGACAGTGGGTGTTGATTGAAGTTGCTGTCCACAGGGGAAACTCCTAGACTTTCCTAATTTCCTCCACTCTGTGGTAATTTTCTAAATTAAGTTTTTGAGATGGTGCTCTCAGAATCAAATTTTAGTTAAGGCAAGAGTTTGTATACCGTGTCACTGAAATATTTTTACAATTTTACTTTATTGCATGAATGCAGCTGCAAAACCTTCCATGCATTTATCTCTTAACAGTAGAGAAATTAGATAATTGAGTAATTAGTAGAAATTTGAGTAATTAGTAGAAATTTGACAATTGAGATAATCGGCCAGCCACAGAAGGCTGAGGAAAGTAAAGGGGTATAAACAAAAGTTAGTGGAGGAGAATTTTGTGCCCTGTGCTTTTGTTTTCCACTTCAGTATTGCCCTGGTTTCAGCTGGAATAGGGTTAATTCTTTTCCTTGTACTTGGTATGCTGTGTTTTGTATTTAGCATGAGGATAATTCTGATAACACGTTATGTTTTGGATGTTGCTCAGCAGTGCTTACCCAAAAACATGGACTTGGGTGACCCGTGCTCAGCCAGCGAGCAGATGTGGAAAGAGTTGGGAAGGATCATGTCCAGGAGCTGGCCAAAGGGAGATTCCATAACAGAACATCATGTCCAGTACATAAAGTGGGGAGTGCTGGCTGGGAGCTGCCAGTTCCTGCTGGGGAAAGGGTTGGGCATTGTTCAGTAAGCAGCTATGCTGTGCTTCACTTGTTTCTTTCAGGTTTTAATTCTCTCTCCCTCTTCCCCTATGTTGCAGTTATTATTATTGTCCTATTTTATTTTGTTTCAGTTATTAAGCTTTTCTTATCTCTACCCTTGAGGTTTACTGTTTCTGTCTGGTTTTCCTCCCCACGAGGGGCAGGGAGGTGGACAGGGAGTGGCTGTGTGGTACTGAGTTTCTGGTTGGGATTAAGTCACAAGTATGTTAGTTATTCATGTGGGAATAACAATCTTTACCTTCAGCTAAATGAAAAACTGCTCCTTGAAGGAAGGCAGCATGATTTACACCCTTAGTTATATTGAGTCCTATTTTTAGGCTTTCAGGAGGCAGGGATTCAAGTTCAGCAAATGCTAACAGTAAGAGTGACTGCTAATAGCACAAATAATATGGTGCCATGTTGTTTCTGATTGTAGTGTTTTCTGTGGTCAAGTAATTCAATAGTTAAACCTCTGGGATATTTGAAAGTTCTTGAAACTTAAAGAAAATCAGTCCTCAAGCTTTTATGATTACTCATCATGTGATGATCAGATGAGAATGACCAGTTTGAAACCTTTTGCATTTGTCCTCATTTATGTTTTTTAGAATGTAATGCCCAAATAGATTTCATTACAATATCAATATACATGGTTTCAGAATTTGCTTTTCTTACACATAAAGATGTTCCATATAAACTGTTTAAATTTAAATTAATATTATTAGTTCATTATCTTAGTAATTGCTCTTGTAACTGGGGCTGGTCCCTGGGATCTTTTGCAAAGGTGACCTCTGAGATAATCTTTATAGGCTGAAAGTTAATGCACAGTGAAGAAGGAGTAAGGCCTTTTGTTTTAGCAATCTTTGTGGTGATTTTTTTTAACCAAATCTTCCTTGCTTTTCTTGCTCCCAGAATGTTGACTGTTCTCTTATCAAGAGCTATGTTAAATTAAGAGACCAAATACTTCTTTTTACAGTCCTGTTTAAAGAACTAAGCTTGCACTCTTTCTGTTTCCTTTAACAATGCCACATGCAGCTTCTGATGAAGAAGATCCACTGGTACCTGTTTCAGGTATGACCTTCTAATAGACATAAACAAAGTCTTTTCCTGTGGATGTTCACATTTGCAGTGTCTTTTCAGATGTGTGGTTTGTGTACATAAGTGTGTGTAAGGTAGAGAGTCATCATAAGTTGTAATGGGACATACATGATTATAGCAGAGGATTTATGCTCTGCTGCTTAGATAAGCATACTGTATAAGATGAATAGTTCCAGGGGAGTTGTTTCTGTTGCAGGTACAGTGTGGCTTTGTCCAATTTATCAGGCAAGCTGAATTTTTAATATGGTCTCCAAGGAATGTGGAAGCATTAGAGGTGTTAGGTCTTTTGTAAATTTTGAAGGTATCAATTGAAATGAAGATTCATTGTGTACAAATAAAGCAATTATTTTTTTTTTTATTAGTTCATTTGACCTTGATTTACTGAGTGCATACTTGTGTACATCACTGGGGAAAGGATGAATGCTCTTAGTTCCCCTTCAGAATTCTCTTAATTGTTTTCAAACACAGCTCTTAAAGTGACACAAGGTCCTGGAAACGTATCTGGGGATGGTTAACTCTAGACTGAAACTGTGTGTGTGTCATCCAGCAGTTATAAGTTTTGAGGGATTGTACTCTTTAGGTTTGGGGTGCCCTCCAAAAGTACTGGCCAAACATCTCTGTTGAACTACAAAACACATGCAGAGATTTTTAAGCCAGGTTAGTTGGATTGTTTTTCTCTGGGCCCTGCAAAGAAAGCAGTGATCCTAAATGATGGAAATTGATTCACTGTGGGAAGTTTTCTACCACTTCTGTGGAAGAGAATTTCAGGACCATTGTTTTTGCTTGTGTATGAGCGTGGAGATATTAGAGTTTATAATTTAGTTCTTTCACTTGAATTCTGGTACACTTCTGAAATTAATTACCCAAATAATTGTAATTGATCTGCTAGTATGAAGTTAATATTTTTTGTTTAAAACTTTCTGCACTTCTGAATAGTCAAAAATTAAACCTTGAGGCAGTACCAAGCAGCTATAGGCTTTAATCTGGTCCTGGGAGGTTTTAGCGTTAGTGTCAGTGTTGGCACTTTGTAATTGCAGCATCAGGATTTTCAGTTCTTTCATGTTCTTACCATTCGTAGTGGTGATCTAATTCTAATTGTGGCAGGAAATGTTTGACAGATGAGCTGTGGAGCGTGCACTGCAGTGTTGCCTTACTCATTTGCCTGGTCCTGAAAGGAACAAACAGCCTGAGCATCAGTAGGTTGGCTGTGTAACAGAAGAAATGGTATTTTATTATATGAGTGGTGCTTTTAACAGCTTTACTGCTGGTTGGTTCTTTACTGTCTTTGGGTATCAAAGCAGAAGCTCAATTTTATGCTTTTGCATCTTACTCAAACACAGTTTATTTGCACTGAACTTCAGTCTGAAGACAAAATGTACATTTCAGAATTTACAAAATGTTCATTGTGGCTGGGTGTGCTTCAGTGCCATGCACCTCTTTTCCTGCTGATGTATTCATCTTACTGAAATTTTGTACGGAGTGAGAGGCCGGGGGAACTGCAGACCTGAGGTGCTCATTCTTTTCAAAAAAAGAGATGCTAAAGCAAGGTTGCCTTTGTGGAAGGCAAGAATAAGGCCCCTTTTCACTTTATAACCTGCATGTTCTGCTTGTCTTTCACTTACAGGAGTGTCTACAAAAGGAAATTTAAGAACAAGGTGTTTGCCAAAATATCAAACAGGTCAAACCGAGCTGAAGGCGCCTGTAGCTGTTGCTTCTGTTTCCATGGATCCTGATAGAGGTACAGGAGGTCTGACAGGGCAGCAGGTGAGTAAAAGCAAATTTTTCTTGCTCTTAAGAGTGCGCATTGTAGAAAAAAAGCTGAAAATTATCAGATCGAAAATGTTTAAGCAGTTTTAGAGTATTATTTTTACAGTTTCTTACACTTTTTGCCCACTTTACTTGGTGGCTTTCTAGCAGAAATTATCACCTGAAGAGAACAAAGGCCGAATGTGCTCATTTATGTAAGTGGTGTGTAACTGGGGCCATGTAAAACAGATTATTTGTATTTCTATGTGTGTATTTGCACAGAGGCAGTGCATGTAGCCCTGGGTAGTGCCTAGCCTATACTTTACTAGCTAAACATGCAAGAAGTTTTGTTCATTTTATTAATTTTCATTGCTCCAGTCATCTCATTTAGAAATTACATGAGCAAAAACTCATTTTAGGGACCTTTTTGTTATGCCTGCTCATGTTAGAAGGGTAAAATCACTTTTTGTTTTTGATAGTAAAAGTTCAGAATGCATTTGAGCAGTAGAAGTAGCTTTGTCAGTTGATGTCAACTGCTTTGAATTTTGTGGTCTCCTCCTGTGAGACTAGGTGATGTGTTTCTACAGTTCCTTGCATTAGAAATTCCAAAGCAGCAGGGTTTCCATTGGAAGGTTATTCGGTGTTGTGACAGATGCTGTGGTGTTTAGAAATCCGTTGAGAGATGCCATTTTTCTAACATGGTTTGTGTAGTACAACGACTGTGTAAGTCATTTGAGTACTGTGGAGTCTCTTGCCTAGCAGTCATCTTGGGCCAGCCTGTAAATTACTGGGGATGGCTTCTTCCCTCTTGCAGGCAGGATCTAAAACCTTTGACTGGTTCTCCATCACTGTTTTGTTATCATGCAGTTAGATCTTGTTCTTCATCTGAGATGTCCTTCTCTGCCTTCTGTGTGCTGTACGTCAGACATGTGGGTTCAAAACTCTGATGTGAAGACAGATCACACAATTCTGGTTGCTTTGACAGTGTCATTGTCCTTTGAATCCTTCAGCATGACACATGACTAGTTATTAAACTAGTATTAATTTTTAGGGCTTTTCCTGGACATGTATATTTCCCTTTCTCTGTTTATCGGTACTTGCTTTTAGAGGCTGGTATGTACCTCTGCTTTGCAAATGATGCTGTTAAGTGGCATGCAGATAAATTCCACAAATAGCCCCCATTATGCAGAGTCTTTATGTAGAAGCATCTCTTCATAAGTATCTACAAGCCTGCTGCCTCACAGATGCCTTCATATGCCACATTAAAATCTGTTTTGTTGAATGGTGCATTGATTGCGTTACTTGTTGTCTAGAGAGTTTTTACTCCTTTTTTGTGAAAGCCATTGTATAAATGGGTTTTGGTGTACTCTTATTTTAAATATAATGCCTGATATGTGAAATCTTAATTGGCGACTCGTGCTTTTGTATTGTTGACAAGAAGATGTGTTCACAGCTATGTTTCCTTTTTGTCTTTTTAAACCTTCTGTTTTTCGCTTGCCTTGCCAAATTCTCATGAAAACTTTGTACTCTGAAGATAAGCTCTGAATACTTCAAACAAACAGAACACATGTTTTTACTTGTTGTTGAAGAAGAACTTCTTTTGCATGGAATTCTCATTAAAAACACAACTCGCTTTCTGCAAAGCGTTGTGTGTGTGTCCAGGGAGAGCTGATGGCTTTACTATGGCTTAGAGTCATAGAAGGGTTTGGGTTGAATGGGACCCTAAAGATCATCCAGTCCACCCTCCCTGCCAAGGGCAGGGACACCTTCCACAAGTGCAGGCTGCTCAGGGTCTCATCCAGCCTGGCCTGGACATAATTCTGAGTAAAATGCTCTAGCCTGGAGTAGGTGAGCTGCTGTGGTCCTTTCTGTGATCCTGCATGATTTTGCCATGCGGTTATCACCCTCCAAGGTGTGGAGAATATCTTGCCTGTACCGAGTTCCAAAACTGTCTTCTATCCTGAGCTGTGTAGAAAGGACAGAAATCTGGGAAATGGAGAGAGTCTTGGCCTCTACCTCCTTTGTTGTCTTCTTTGGATGGTCAAGCTGTTGCTGTGCATTATTCCACAGCTTCATTTTGATGCGTGTTATGGTACAAGTCTCCCTCTGATAATTTCCTATGTGCCATCTTTGCATACTTGTGAGTGATAGAAAAAACTGATTTTTCCTCTTCATTCCACAAAACTTTGTCTGACAATATGTACATCAGTTTGGGTAGTAGTTTTTGAGATCTTTTGTTAAAATCCCCTTCATTAATGTGATCAAGCTTCATTCTCTTTTTTGAGGACTGTAACTTCATTTTTTTTAAAGAAGTTTCATCATCTGTCTGCTAAAAAAAAAAAACAGTCACACATTTTTAGCATGCAAAGTGAAATTTCTTCAGCCATACGTTTAGTTGAATTCAGCCAAGTTAGATGTTCTCTAGTGTTCATTTGTGAGTGACATATGTTTGGGAAGAAAACTGTGAAATCAAATGCCCCTTGAAAAGTGCTGAAATTTGCCTTGTGAAATTGCTTTCCCTCTTGCCCCTGAGAAGAATACACTGAAGTTAAAATGAAGGGTCACACAGGTACAACATGTGTCTGTGTGAAAACATCACCTCTCTTTGTAGTGGACATTATTCTTTAATTGTTTTTAAGATGCTGTTTAATTAGCTAAGAAGGAAAGGGGTCACTTCCTCTCTGGTGTAGATCTGCTGCTTTTACTGACAATGAGAGAAGCCCAGTGTTGGCTTTGTTTTCTTTTGTGCATTGTTGTGTTGACTGGGCCAAACTTCAGGGCATCTGGTGGCATTCTTTTATCTAAAGCACTGCATGCACTTTGGGGGGGGTTTGTAAAAGTATAAACTGAATCTCCTTCAGATTGAGTGGGGATACTGAAACTTGCCAAAATCCTGGACAGAACAGCATAGTGCTGCATTTATCTTCGGGTTCCTATTTCGTGCTTACCTGTAGCGCTGCAGCACTGAATACCCGATCACAGGAATTTTGGGTGAATAAAACCAGTTTGGAGCCGTTTCCTGCGTGGAAACAGCCGAAGTCGGAAATGCCGGGCGGCAGAGTGCCCTCTGGTGGGCACACCTGGGAAGTGCAGCGGCTCGCTCTGCGCGTTCCCGGGAACGCGTGAAAAATCTGAAGTGCTCAGCCCCGCTACAGCCTTCTTTGACAAGTTTTATTTACGAAAGTAGCATAGTAGTATAGTACTTATCTAAGAAAAAGAAATCATAACTATATATATATTCATAAATACAGTATATATTTACAATATAAGCAAATAAACCATTAAAATGAAACAGTAGCCGCATGTGAAGGTGTGTGTGCTTTCCTCTGTATTAGAAAAATGAAATAAGGGATGTACTCTCTGCTAACAATGTTTTGCTGTTTTGTATGCTTTGCTCAGAAATGCTAAGGTAGCATGTTTTTTACCTTACTCCCTATGTTATGATCCTAATATGATGAAGTTTGAAGTTGGATTTGGATATTGCTGCACTAGATTTCCATAAGAACCTACTCCTCTTTATCTAGTATGAGTCAAGGAATAGTGCATGTCTTAAAACTTTACCCAGCATGTTTTAGTATTGAAGCTAACAGCTTGCATTTGAATTACAAATACCTTAAAATAATTCTTCACAATTTGGTAATTTGTTTCATTGAAATGTACTTACAATTTAAAAAATATGAATTTTATTCCCAGTTGGAATTGATCTACTTTCAGCTTCTAATTATTAGGTCTTGAAACGCATTTAATAGCTTATGAAGTATTTGTTTTCTTTTAAACAGTACATTCTAAAATGAAACTTTAAATTTTCAGGGCACTAATGAAGGAGGAATGAAGAGCGCTTCTTTAAAGGATTTGTGTCCTGAGGACAAGAGACGCATTGCAAACTTAATTAAAGAACTTGCCAGGTAAGAAGAAGCATCACCTGAAAATGCATTAAGTTTAAAGAGAGTCATTTCTCTAATTAACATCAAGCAATGTAGAACTGCTTAAAAAACCTGAATATTTGCACAAGGTAATTTTTCTTGCTGGAGAAAGTATGAAGCAGCCTAGTTGGTTTTTCCTTGCTTTCTGAGCCCCTAAATATATATTTAAAACGGAGGTCAAAATTTCATGACCAGCAGTACTTCTGTAATAACCTAATGACAGGGCTAGGATTTTGTTTGTTGTGTGTATCAAGTGCTACAAATAAACACATCCTGCTTTTGGAAATGACAGACTTTGTTGGTCATGAAATGAAACTTTGTAGTTCTTATTATTTGGCAGAGGTAAGCTTTTGTATGAAAGGCCATGTTAAAGGTGCATTGCTGATCTTGTGGCTGAAACATGCTGGTAGTGATTTGCCCGTGTAATTTTTACTTACCTAGCCAAACTTCTTCTTGCTTCCCTTAATTTCTTGAGATTCTACCTATTCCTTGAAAGGAGAGGTAGAAATAGTGCAAGTTTTCAGCTTTAGCAGAAGTCTTTTTCTAAGTTCCATTCCAGCACTAGTAATATTCTCAAAGGTAAAGGAAGTAATAAAGAGGTAGAATTAAAATGAGGAGATTTTTGTCCTACTCTTTATCCCTAACACCTCAGAATCTCTGGAAATCTGTTTCTTACAGAGTGTCTCTAAAAATGAGGAGGAGCACATGGGCCTTTGGCAGGCTTTGCCATATCAGTGGGGGAAGCTCTTATGAGATGATCCCACGTCCTTTGGGCTAGAAGTTAATGTTAATAATTACTGTTAATAATTAAATGCTTTTTGACGTGGATCCTTTATGTCTGTGCAATAATTGGCAAGCATTACTGTTCTTTTTTCATTTTATATAGGAAAATACGGAAAATTAGAGAAATTTAGTGACTTGCTCAAGGTCATGCAATAACTCTCTGGTGCAGCCAGGAATATTTTCTCTCTGATTATCCTTATCCAGTGGACCATTTTACCTGCTAATAATTTCTACTAATACAGGATTTCTTGCCATACAGTATTTTAGTAATTTCTGAAGTTCTTCATGCTTGCAACTCTATTTTATCATGCTTTGTGTTAGAAAATGTATAGTTAAGACTGTCATAAAGAGTAGATTGGTGGGATGCCTGGTTACAAATTGTCAGATGTTGGAGCTATTCGGACACTGTTGCCACTGTTGATATATAGAGGTATATTCTAATATTAAAAAAAGCCTTTTATTGCATTGTTCCTCATAATACACTGCTCCCTAGTGAATAGTAGTACAGTAATTCATTCGAGCATGGGATTCTTCTTAAATCTCAGATGCTGTGATTTTTCCCTGAGGACAGTTTGATATTTCTGCCTGACATTTCTTTGAAGAAAAATAGAAGGTGCAGCAACATTAATTTTGAAAAGTAAAATTAGTGGAACACTATTATTTTATACTTAGTTCTCTTTTATTTTTAAACCTAATCATATTTTTATTGGATGTAATTAAAAGTCCTTTGCAGAGTAATAGGGAAGTTGAACTTTAATTCCGCTCACCTCGTCACTTTTTTAAAACTCTCCATAATTTTCATCCTTAGTTGTGCAATGATAGAGAGTTTTTACAAGCAGTAGAACATTCTATGCTACTTTGGAGAAGAAAAAGGAGCAGCAGAATGTTGAAAGTTTTACAGGAACACTGTCCTGCAATAAATACTTGGAATAATAAAGGTCTCACTTGGGTTGTACCTCGCTGTTCCTTATTTTGCTATAATTTATGAATGGTAGTTGAGGCTCATTCATGCACATTTGTTGCAGGGCGGTAAACAGATACAGATTGGTCAGTTAGCAGTTTCATGAAAGCTCTTTTAAAGTGGTAAAATTCTGTTTATGTGGAAACCAGTTGCAAAATGTGATTGACTCCTTTAATCATAGGCTTTGATTTCAGCCAGGTCTTGCTTGAGCAGCTCAGGGTAGTGGTTGGTCTTTCCCCAGCTTCTGTGACTGCTGAAGGAGAGAGCTCTCTTGTACTTTTCTTCCTGTTTTTTGCTTTTTTTCCTCCAACTTTCATTCCCACTGCACTTTTGAACATTGAGGGTGTGTGTGCCAGTGTGGTTGCTAATTTGCTGAATTGTAAGACTTTGTATTGGTATGAGTAAATTCTGATGCTAGCTACATTAATATAATTTTCTCTGGGGTAAAAAAAGAAGAGCTTCTGGGCTGTAAAGGTCTCCTGCTGGGGATTCCAGTGGCTGACATCACCTTAGCTGTTAGGAATTTTATGAAATTGGATTTTGAGACGGGGTCTAAAGAAAGGACTCAGCTGTATCCTTTCTAATCCTCCTTTCTAGGCTAAATAATCGTAGTTTTTGATCTGTGCTGCTGCCTGTAAATCTAACCATTATCTTGCCCTTCTTTGAATGTATCCTTTTAAGGTGAAATGAGAGTGGCAGAATGGAGCCAGAGTTTAAAATACTAGAATATTGCAAATTTGAGCTTTTTAATTTATTGTGTCAGCAGATTCTTTAAAAATTGCTTTTGTAGAGGAATTTCTGAGAAGAATGAGTCATGCCCATGAATGCCAAAGTGCTTTGTGTAAGTGGAGTATTCTTGAGTGTGATCAGTCATTATTTTCTGAGACAGCCACTGTGGCACCTTCATGTTTTCAGCAAGGTCCTCCTGGTGTGGTGGTGAAAGTGGCACAGTAAGAGCAAATTTTCTCTCCCTATCAGCAAAGTCCTTTCAAGAGAGGCAAAGAAGACTCTCTCTGAGCTTTTATTCCTGCAGGCTGCTCCTGAAGCAGTCATCAGCTTATGTGATGGAATGAGCAGTGGCATGGTGAGGATACAGAAAGATCCGCTGCCAGCGTCAGGACACATTGGCCTGCTCTGAGAAGGAGCAGCACGGGGCCTGCTGGGACGTAGCCAGCTGACTGTTGGACATTAAGGGCTTGCTAGACACCACACTGAGACTGATTATGAAGTATTCTAGGGTGAAATACTTTGAGTGACATGCAGATTTTGAGAGATCTCTCTCAAATTCTTGGCCTTTGGTTAAATGGAGAGGATCGTAACTCCTTAGCAGAGAGAGTGAATGTGTATATGTTTGCAAGATTCACTTCACTCCTAACTGGTATAAAGCCATAGTTCTGTGACTTTGGGGCTCCTGGTATGGCAGGTGCATCATAAATACTTTTCCCCTGATCACAAATGCCTGTACAGCTCAGATATGGAATTTGTCTTTTTTGAGTGAACAGAAGCATTCACTAAGTGATGTAGAGTTGTTCATGAAAGTTTAAATTTTGTTTTTAGTGGCAAAAATTGGTACCTAACTATTTTGCATTCTTTCTTTCTTTGAATAAGGTAAACTTGGAGAAAGCTGGCTTCCTGTTGTCATTGCAGACAAATCTTCAAAAGCAATTTTGGTAGAAAGGTATCATAATGCCCTTCTGCACCCATGGGAGGGAGAGATTTTCCTTTCCAAATGAGATACAAGATGGTTTTTGCTATTGTATTAGTGTTCTGGCTAAGATCACTGGCATGCCCAGAACGACTTGTAACTGGCAGCTACTAAAACAACCTTCAGACAGCCTGTTATCCCTTAGTGAGAAAATGCTTCCCTCATCCCAACTCTCTGGATTCCTAAGCCCTTTGTAGGGTGCTAGCAGTTTGGGATACTAATCTTTTCTACGGTCTTTGATATGAAGCTGAAATTACCTAACTGAAATTGAAATTTTCTAACAAAAAGTGAAAATGGGTGTCAAAACAGAATATTAGTTTGGTTACAGAACTGGAAACCATTGAAGAGGTTTCAGTAAAGCCATTATAGTGTATATTTGCGGTTTTTCTCCCAGTCCTTAAGATCTTTGAAGGAAAACTTGCCTGTGGTTTGTATTACAAATTTTGTTTGTTTGGCCTCTTGTGTTGCCTTTTCTCCTGGGTTACACTACTTAATATTTAACCAAATTGTTACCTGGCTTTAAAATCAAAATCTTTTATCTTTTTTTGTGTGCTTCTTTAGGGGCAATTTTGTGCTGCAGTTTTCATAATTGGTCAGGCAGTGAGACTGCAAATGAGCTATCCCTAAGCTTGCCTGGAAATTACTTTGTGTTGATAGGTAAAGCATGCCCAGGATTATTGTATCACCAATCACACTTACTTTCTGTGCTTAAAAAGTCGTTTGTAGCTATAAATTCATGCTGTGAAATCTAGTTTTGTATTTTGCAGGTTGCATATTGTAAAATTTATCCATTGTGTAGCAATTTCAATTAGGTTTTGGGCGCATAGCAGTTTTTTTTAAATTATTTTTTTCTAGTGTGAACAAACTGCATATGATGCTTGAATAGAATGTATCAGATTTGTGAACCCTGATCCTTGGACAAAAATTCTGTTTTTTCTTGCCTTTCCCTCTCTCCCCAACCCTGCCGCCATGGTGGTCTGCCCTGTTCCAGATGCCATTGTTTGCCTGGAATTTAAAACCTGTAGTTTTCAAGAATGGTCACCAAACCTTTTTAATCTTTGCTAGCCAGTTGACAGACTAATACCAGATTGGTGTTTATTACAAGATAAGTGCTCCCAAGGAGTGTAGGACTGATCAGTGAAGTTCCCAGTGTCTATATATCTGTTTTTTGTTCAGTTTTCCTTCTGTCTTAACTAGCTGAGCTGCAATGTTCTTACTGCATTTCAGATTTTTTTGGTAAAAGCTCATTTTTTAAAATTTTAAAAAACACAAGATACTGTTTTTAATTTGCTTTTCCAACTCTGCCTTCAGTCAGAAAGAGCTGAGTTCTGTCCCTAGTGTAGTGTTGATGTGAGTATTATCATGGCTCTTTCTTGTGCATGTCAGTTTTTCATTAAACAAATAAAACTTGAAGTGCTGTTGACTTGTGCAGTGCTTCAAAAATTCCACCTGGAGAGCCTCAGTCCTGCTTACTCAGTGGAATGAGTCAGTGTCATCAGCAAACTCCTTGATCAATTCCTTCTTTAGATTAGACAGAAATACTACTATCAGCAGTGGACCTGGGAGCACACAACAATAATTGGAACTGGTGAGCTAGGAATTAATTTTAACACTAAGGCGGATGCCCTAGGAGGGCTTTTTGTCAATATATTTGCATTATGAGTTTTTCTAAAGAGGCTCCTGTAAAGTAAAATTATTTATTTAAATGCATTTAGAATTATATAGGCTTTGAACTGTCAAATTTAAAGCAAACCTTGAACAAAGATGTTGCACGTCCTATGGCACAAGGTAGGTGAATGTGAATAGAATGCAAGAAAATGTTGCAGACACTGAATGGAAGGAATAGTTCCTCTGATTCATCATCTTCGCTCTCAGCTGTCAGTTGTCTGTTTGATCCTGGAAGCAAGAACAATGGAGCTGGATACCAGCATATTGCTCAGTGGAGCAGTTGAGCTCTTTGTAGTTGTGCCTTCATTCTTTCGCTGCTCTTTTTTGACCCAAGTGGGTGAACAGAGGGTGAAAATACTTTTGAGGAGCATTATATGAGCATTGTAATGTTTTTGTACAGCATCAGTGAAATCTTCCATACTTCTGCTAAAAATCATATGTTCTTTACTGCCAGAAGGCAAAGAAATAAGTTTATTAAAAAACCCAGCAACTCACTGAGCTATTTATAGGAAGTGACATAAATCCAGCATAATCTGATGAGATTCTTGTATTCCTTTTCTCTAACTTCCTTTTGCCACCTCCTGTGAGTAACCGTCTTTTGTATCTCGCCTGCCCTTTATGGGCTGTCTCCTGCTTTGTGATACATAAACACATACTGCCACATTTCTTCTGAGATCACTTACTGTTCTCAGTCATTTACTGCGTAAGATATGTGGCACAATATATTCATGTGTCTGGGAGTGTGACAGCTTGCTGTGATATGTGTTAAATACAAACACAGCACGTGAATGTGATGCACACTGATATAAGAAACAAATCACAGAATCTAGAGATGAGTAAAGCCTGCTACATTTAGTCTGATTTTTCTAGTGCTCTCTTCTTTCATGCCTTTTTTCCTTGTACTGTTGTTCAATTTTTGTGTTATTAGGTGCCAGCATAGCCCAGCATTTGTTGCCCCAAACCCTTTTCTCATGCAGCACCACTCCTGCAAGTTACTGACCAAGCTTCCTTCCTTTCACAGAATCCTGGAGATGGTACTTGTTCTCTCTTTCCAGTTGCCTGCCCTGCTCTTGTTCCATTCCTGTCTTTCATCCACGTAGTCATTGTGTTCTTCATTGTGGTTTTCTAATTAACTTTGTTTTTGCATCTTTCACTGATGATGTGAAAAAAGGTCATTTGTGCTGTAGTTATTTAGGTGGTTGCACTGGACTCAGAGGAAGCAAATGGGCCATGGTTGGATATGAGAGTCTCTCTCTGCAGCTTGTGGCAAATGTGCTGTGGCTGTTACTGCAAGGAAGTGTGTGGATATTGCTCAAAAGTTTGTTGCCTGCTTAGCTAAGGAGTGCAGAGGTGTTGGTGTGGGTCTAGAATTTATACAGGTAGTTCCTGTTACCATGTTTCTTTAATGGTATCTGCACAGCCCTTCTGACAGCCTGTGAGTGGAGGGGAAGGGGCCAAGGAACAGGTTGAACTCATCACACCTTCCCAGACTGGGCCCAAGGTTGTAAGTGAGACCTTGTGCATTTGACTAGTGGAATGCTGTTATGCTTAATCAGTGTCTTTTTCTCCCCCCCGTTCATTAGAAACTTTACAATTAATCGTTTGATCCAAGCTTTCAAACTGCCCTAATTTTAAGAATTTGATTATCCGGTATCTGTCGTCTGTCTCCCTCTAGGTTTGTAGAGAAAAAGTGTGAGTTCCAGTATTATTACTTCCAACTTCATGCAGTCTGCTTGAGCTGATATGAGAGTGCTGTGGGTTGATCTTGAAGTTGGGGAATACTGCTTGCCTATAATTCACTCCAGGGGAGTGACCCAGTTGTGGTATTTATGACTTCTCCACTGGAAGATCAAAACAAATCTGTGCCCTCTTAAGGGGAACAGTGATACGAAATGTATGGCTCAGTCCTTGAATGAAACATTTGGTTCAGAATATTAGTCTAATGGAATGAGTGCCAGACTTAGTCTTATACTTACATATATATATATACACACTTCATTTTCCCCCTCCTCTTTCTTCTTCCTATAAGATTGTTCCACTTTAAGGAAATTAAAATTGGAGTTTTCTAAAAGTTGTATTGCTTTGGTCTCCTGTCACCTGTGTTGTGGCAGCTGTTTCATCATCATAAAAGACTGAACTTTAAGAGCCTTCAGCAACAGAAATTGCCTAAGTGCAGAGCAATAATATTTATTAGTCTAAGCTCATTACTTAATATTTTTGTGGAGCTTTTATGGAACCATGATTTCCAAACCACGTTTTTTAGCATAGTTACAGGATCATCTGTGCATAATGATCTTCTTGCCTACGTGATACCAGAATAATTGTTTTTATAGCCTGCTCTTGAGGTGCAGAATAAATGATCATTGTAAGCCTTTTTCCCATTGTCATCCTTTAATCTTGATCCAATTATTTACACTGAGCAGCAAGATACAGGGTGCCATGTCCCAGACAGAAAGGAAAATTTACTCCTGCAGCTTGATATTTGAAAATCCTCAGAAAAGGACAAACAATTTTGTTTGGAGAAAGCTAACAAGAAAAATGATTCTTTCCTGAACTTGTATTTGACCAGTAAAGATGAAAGAAGGATTAGTTTATAGATTAAGAAACAGAAAAGTTTTCCAGAATTTTCTTTCTGTCATGTCATCTAAGCTCTTCTGTCTGAGTTTTCTGTCTTCATGTCCTAGGTTTGAAAGTATCCCAGTGAATCTTCATTATGGCTGCAGAAAATCAGACTGGACAAACCTAATTGTGGGTTCAGGCCCTGACTTTGACCTCCATGGTGCCCATTAATGTGCATGTACTCTACTGAGACCAGTGTTTCTGAAAAAAAAAAAAGAAGAGATGTATTGCATCAAGTCATACGCACCTTCCTGTGTAATATATTATAAACATTGTGAGGCACTAACCTGCTCTTTAGGGTGGAGAGGATGTTATGCATTTACCTGCAAAGTGGTGGAGGAGTTGGAAGTCAGGCACTGTGGTTATGGGCTTATATTTTATTTTTCTCAAATTCTTTTCAGGGTAAGTGAAGAAAAAGAGGAGACGGAAGAACGGCTGAAAGCTGAACAGGAATCGTTTGAGAAGAAGATCAGACAGCTAGAGGAGCAGAATGAACTTATCATCAAGGAAAGGGAAGATATCCTTTAAAAATATGTGCAATGGCCCACTGAAATAAAAAGTGAAGTACAGAGAAATAATTGTTCTAATTTATGGCATAGAATAAATCTGCATGTGCTGCCATTCAAAAGCAATCAGAGAGATGACTTGTCAGCATGTGACACTGGTTCATTTGAGCTTAAACTGCCATCCAGCTGTTTCTATGATGTTGTTTTGCTATGAAATAGATATTTGTCAACTAAAAAAATGACAATAAGGAATTTACACATTAAAATATGATTATAGATATTTTTTTTAAATTCTGTTAGGTGGTCATAGTTTAGGTCTAAAACTTGCATGGTATTCCGTTTCTCTCCATGTCCAGAGAAAGGGAATCTCCACTAAATGGATACAAATTAAATATATGTACTAGGAGGTTTAGCTAGTTTGGACTTTTTGTTTGGTGTAGGATTTGCTTGTATATAAAAAAGTTAGGAGATTCTATTTTCTTGCTGACTGCGGCTTGCATTTCTTTAAGCTGCATATGCTTAGTCCCAGTCCTGGAGTATCACATGCAAAGTCACTATTGCAGGAATTGATATTTTTCTTTCTGAGGTGTGACAGACCTTTACAAAATTCTCTTGCTCATTTTTCTTCCCAATCTCTGATACTGATGCTTTGTTGTTAAATTCCTCAGAGGGCTAAGGATTGGCTGCAGTGGGATAGGGAAGAGACAGGACTGCAACTACAGGAAAAGCAAATAGTGTGTGATTCATTGGGAGATGCATTGCTGATAGGGAGGGTAGTAATGTTGTTTTAAAAAGCATGATGGAGCCCAGCATGCAGTACTGGTTTCAGTCCTGAGCCATCCCTTGTTCAAGTTAAAAAGTTAATGACAGAAAGAGGCTGTTCAAGCTATTGGCCAGTGTTGGAACAGAAACAGAGATAATTTAGAAATGTAAGCATGAATTTAGAGGAGGGTTCTTGAAAATTCTGGAAATCCTGTTTCACAGTTTAGCACTGGAGGTGTAACAAAAACAGTGCTTCTTTATGATGGAACTTGCTTGGCTTAGAAAAGACATTCAGTGATGTGTGGTTTCTGTCAGGAGAGCATTGCCCTGATGACTTAGAACATCCCTTGGAGCACAGTGGCACTTACTTTGTCTGTTTGTCCTAAATGATATACACATCAACAAACTTAGCTGTTTGTGAACTGTTACTGGAAAATATTAGATCTGAGGTATTTCAGGAGCCATTAGATGTGACAACAACTCGTTGATACTGATTTCACTGAAGCCAGTATTTTGTTGTATATTGAGTCTTGTGTGTTCAGTCAGCTCATGAATGTGGGTGGGATGCATGTTCCTGATTTTTTGTTAATTATCCACACAAAGATTTCACTAATTCACATGAAGTTTATTTGGCTAGTGAAAGGTAGACATGCTTGCTTTTTTGTTTTGTTGTTTGGGATTTTTTCCCTTTCCTTTTGTTTCTTTACCAGAAATAGATTGCACAAGCATGAATACTTTTCCAGAAGTCTGGTAGACATGGCAGAAGGTTAATGCATGCAATTTTACACTTCATAAAACTCTCTAAAACCTAGATATATAAAACAAGGTTATAATTTAAAACAATGTAATTTTAACTGCTGCAATACTTGCCTATCATACACGAATGATTCAAGATCTTCAGTGTAACTCTGATCACCTAATTTTTTAAAGCTTGTTGCAGAGACAAGGAATAGTACAAATGACTTCCTGAGGCTGAATGCAGATTGTGGCTGTTTCAAGTAGGCAACTTGAAATTCCTTAATTTCTTCTGGATTATAGTGTCCACTTGCAAATAAGATATCAAGGATATAATACCATAAGAAAAAAACTTGAAGCCTGTTAAAATCAATTTTATCTCTTTTTTTTGCCCCACGTAGCGAATTTATTCTCTATAAGATAACTTTCTTTACTGCAGTATTTAAAAGAACCCTGCAGTAATAAATTGGTGCTTCTGATATAAATGCAGCTATCCAGCAAAGTGCAATTTCAGCCTGATAAGGGTTTAGTTCACTTAGCATGGGGACTGTGTGGGTTGTTTCCAGCTAGACATGTTTTTGTTGTTTGGTTTTTTCCCTTGAGATTCTTGGAGGAGAAATACTGTTTGGTGCTTGAAATCCCTGTTTTGAGGAAAATCCATCATTATTTTGTTGTGGTTGATTTTTTTACCACTGAGAAGCTGTGAAGACCCCTCTGTTCAAATTTGCTGCTCATGAACTGTGAAGATTTGGGGAAAGGGAGGAGGGTGGGTATGCAAAGATCTCACGACAAAACTTTGAGTAACTTATCAGCATTTAGAAAACAGCATCTGTCTGCAGCCCAAGGTCACATTTACTTTGGAACTTCCCAGACCTGTCTGGGTAGGGAACAACAAATAAAATTTCATGCAGATTTAGAAGTCAATTCTACCCTTCCTTGGCAGGTGAAACTTTGAAAATTGTGTACTTAGTACTAGGGTGTGCTGTTAATGGAGAACAACAGTGATGAGCATACTGTGAACCATAAATAGTCCAGCCTATTGCCAGGGTTGCCAAATACTTAGTATTGTATTACAATGCTAAGTATTTGGCAATTATCACACCATTAAGGAAAATTAGGGATTTCAAGCAGTCATTTGGTCTACACTTTCCTTCTAAAGAAGTATTAAGGCCTATCATATTATTGTATAATTTGGTCAAAAGTAGCTGTTCTGGCTTGGCTTATCTCATGACATTTACATTTCAGACTGACTTCTTTGAAAAGAAATGTGATCTGAGGTGTTTAAAAAAAAAATTCCAAAACCAAAAGAGGATCAAAACTTTTTATTTGTATTAAACTCTTTTGCTTATAATAAACCAGAAAGTTCTAGTGCTGCTGTTATAAGATGTGCCACTTAGTGGTGTTCAGGGACATGTGCTGGGATGACAGCTCTTGCTGTTCTTACTATAATTTGCCCAATTGGACTGACCTGGATAATCCAGTAACAGCTGCTCACACTCACTCGATGCCCTCCCCAGTGAGAGCATTCTACAACTTTGAAGATGATAAAGTGGTGGGGAAAAATATCACTTTCTGAAAGTGAAGTTTACGTAAAAGATAAAGAGGCAAAATGTAAATGGCATGTGTGTTGGGAAAGTGAGATCTAGAACATGAGATCTGGAAAGAAAGACTTGGAAAAGGAGGTTGGGCTGGATGTGACTGATGTGAAAGCCTGTGACTGATGGGTTCAGAAGTGTTTGGGATAAGCAGTCAGGGTTAATAAGAGCCAAGGTGGTGCAGATGACCTAGGATCAGACAATTGTAAGACAGCTGATGCAAGCAGGGATGTGTCTGTTTAGGGTGTTCAAGCACCCCCTGAACTTTTGAAATGGAATTTAGGACTAAGTTCATGTGAGGATTGCCGTGTGTCACCACCTGTGGTGTCTTCTACAGCATCTGCTCTTGGTATTGGTGTTCTCTTTGCTGCTGTATGGTGACTCAGCTGCTTCTAGTGGCAGTCTAGATTCTGGAATTGGCTTTGGAGTGTGTGACTTGCAACTTCCTTGTTCTTATTTGTATTATTTCATTTGCATTTTTACAGTAAGGGATGAGCAGTGTGGACCATGTTATGCACTTAGAATACTTGTGCTGCATCTTTTTCCTCTTTTGGTAGGAGCTGCTAATAGAAAAGCTTTTGGCTTTCCTTTTCTTTTCCTTGATGTATTTTCAGGCACCTATTATTAATTTAGGTCCCAAATATAATTTAATTTAACAATCAGGAAAATATCCTTTGTAAGATGTCCCAATACTGTCATGATATATGTCTTAGGAAAAAAATTATAATGAGATTATTAAGAAACAAATACTACTGATACCTTCATAGCTCAAAGAAATTATGTTGTGGTCTTTAGCTTTTCTGTTATCACCATTAGGGATTTTTTTCATGCAAATTTGATGCGGTTGCATAAATGAAGAAGAAAAAGCAGCTATAACATTTCTGTCAAGACTTACTAATAGGTGAAGAGGAAACTTATTTAAGACATTTTAAGAATTGGTTATTGAATTCTAAGCTCTAAATTGTTATTATATAGACAAGGAATAGGCAGATAAAGGAAAGAAGAGATTCTGTTTATTGCAAACTTTTTTTCTTTTTTGTAGATTTAAACTAGTCACCTGTACTATGCTACTGTTTTGGTTAATATTTAGAATGCACCTTTTTGTTGGAATTATTTTCTGACTGAACATAGACTTACAAAATGGTTTAACCTTGAAATATCATCTAGGTCCAACCCCTGGACAGGGACACCTCCCAGTAGACCACGTTCTGAAGACCCAGCCAAATTCACACAACACATCCTGTATGATTTACTTGGTTAGTCTTAAAATTGATCACAGACTCTGTTTACATATGTCCTTAATATTATAGAACTACTTAATTAGTTGGTTTTGCATGCAGTTAACATGAATATTAATTTAACTAAAACAGTTCATTTGCTTATAGTGTTAGTGAGACATAGAATATTAATTTGCTGGAAGAATAATGAGCTTTATAACTATTATCCAGAGACTTTAATAAAATGCTTTTAGTTTTGCCATAGTACTGTTCATTACATAAGTCTTGCATACATAAATTAGGGCTGCTTACATATTTTCGCTTTTCCTATTTTAGTGTGTTAATATAAAATTAGGAGTATTTTTCAGAAGAAAAAGAGTTACTGGCTTGCTTAATGCAAAGAAAAAAATGGTGGAAAAAGGAGATATCAGAATATGGAATTTACTTGCTGGTTCTGCCTTATTTTCCCTATAACATCAAATCTGATCTTCTGAAAATATGACAGCTTCTGCTTGCCTTTCTTTTTTAGTCAGACCCACCAAGCTGTCATCACAGATGAGGGAGCAAAGGGGATCTTGCACAGAAGGGCTTTGGCCATGTACTTTGTTGGATGTGTGGTCCCAGTGTCCTGTGTGGCAGATTCGTGTGTGTGTGTGTGCCTCCCTGGGGCTGCTGTTGGCAAGGGACAGTCTGCCCTCAGAA